TTCTCTCTCTCTCTCTCTCTCTCTCTCTCTCTCTCTCTCTCTGTCTCTCTGTCTCTCTGTCTGTGTCTGTGTCTCTGTCTCTGTCTCTGTCTCTGTCTCTCTGTCTCTCTCTCTCCCTCTCTCTCTCTTCTCGTGCTGTGGCGTCATAAACGGTCAGCGACGCCGTCAACACGCAGGAACTCAACACTTGCTAGGGGGTCCTTGAAAAGTGCCGAGCGTGGGTCACTGAAATGTCCCAGCAGACGTGTAACCCCTACTAAGAATTACAAGATAATATCTGTTCAGTACCTAGTTTTGAGTATTTTGACGTTAAAAAAAAGTTTAAGGTTCCCAACATATCAAGCTTCCTCGAATGCAGTTCTTTGAATATCTTGATAACTCCTTATAATCTTTACGCTTTTGAAAGAGCAGATAGAACATTATTATGGTTTCTGATCTCATGGTCTTAGTAACTCAAAACGGCCTAAAATGTCAGAAAGAACTTTGTGAATCTGAGGTACCTTCTTTTGTTTTGGATTACGAAATGTTTACAGTTTTTTTAGTACAGTATCTTGGAGACTATTAATTCCGTTGCAGTTGCACATATCAAACTAAGGATCAATAGTTTCTTAAACATAATATATCGTTTAGGCATCTTTTTTTTGGTCCTGTGTCCTGATTTTGGTGTCGATATTTTTAGGCTACATAAAAATGTGTTGACTTGAAGCAAATTGTTTTATTTCAAGAAAAACAAAACAGGAAAAACAAAACAAGAAAAAATAAAACAAGAAAAAAGGCATCTATGATTATAATCAACAGCTAATTTGATCAATCCACCCTTGATATTACCGTACATTTTTTTGCATGGATGTGAATGTAGATGGCTGTTATATGATGATAATAATAATAATAATAATAATAATAATAACATGATAATAATAATAATAATAATAATAATAATAATAATAATAATAATAATAATAATAATAATAATAATAATAATAATAATAATAATAATAATAATATGTAATTACACGGTGGAATCAGGCGCTCGTCAATTTCTGGGTATACTGAGTTATTGGTATCACCTAAAAGCTGATTTATTCGCCTTGCTTCCAATGAAATAAATATCCATCTATCTTGAGCAGAACTCGAGATATTTGAGATTGAAGGAAGTGAGATCACCTTGTTTAAGTGGTGAAATTAGTGAGAAAATGGCTGCCAATGTTTGGTAACTCCAACAGCTGAAGAGTCCTTGGGAAAAGAAAGATGACATATTATTATTATTTTGTGCCTTAAATCAATGTTTTTCCCAGAAAAATCCACACAGAAATCTGTTCTTTAAACGACATGGAAGGTGCTGAGCTAAAAAATTTTAAAAATCGAAGAAAAATCCCAAACTTGCAGGAAAATGCCAGTTTTTTCATTTTCATTATTTTGACCAGCGCCTAATTTCACCACGCTCCCTCACATATCATTATTGTTCTTAATAATAATAATAATAATAATAATAATAACAATAATAATAATAATAATAATAATAATGATAATACTACTACTACTACTACTACTACTACTACTACTACTACTACTACTACTACTACTACTACTACTACTACTACTACTACTACTACTACTACTACTACTACTACTACTAATAATAATAATAATAATAATAATAATAATAATAAGTATAATAATAATAACAGTAAAGTCAGGCAGGCTTTATTCGTATCACCAGTAGTTTTACCAAACGTTCCATCTCTCCCCTAGTACGACCCGTCACTGATCGACAGAATTGACGTGGAGGAACTCTTAGAGCAGGCCAAAGATTTGGAGGAGTCACTCAAGGACGCAGATGGGAGGATAACTACACTTACCAAGGTCAGATTTGGGGCAGGTGGCTGAGCCGGTTGATGACCAGGACAAAAAAGATAAATAAATTATTGCGAGTCCAATGTCTTTTCTCCCAGCTTTGTGTTGAGATAATTGTGTTCTTTGACGCTAATGAAAAAATCAGATATTACACAAAACAATCAAAATGATCTGGCAGCCAAAAAATCCATCTGTTTCCTATTTTAATGTCATGCTCTTAATTATGCACAGTCCTCTTTCCTGGGCACAGCGAGACAGATTGTGTTATGTACTGTAATGCTTAAACTTTCAGATTTTAACTTGTGAGATGCTTTACCTGTTTTCTGTCTTGTCTACGTCGATTACTTCTTTGCCATACACTCTTCCCTTAGATTCAACTTGTCATTGTATGTATACAAATTAGACAGAATTAGAGCTTTGCTCATCATTGTGATCACATTAGTGTGTCGCCAAAGGGAGGCAACCTATTGTGGGGCGTCTCTCCGAATCTGTATTTATAATAATATATAATATTATGAAAGTTCAATTTGCTTGTTGATATTCAGAAATAGCTCTTTTTTTTAGGTAGAGGGTTTTACGGCGCTCGCATAAGGTAATATGAGCGCCAATGGGTGGGTGTCAACAGAGAAGTCCTTACAGGGAATCAGACGTACTCTGCTCACCTCTCTAGCTTCAACAGCACAAAGTCTGCTTCGACTATCAAGGCACCCCGGAAATAGCGGGTCACAAGAGGGACAAACATACAAAAGAAGTAGAGGAAAATGACAATAGTAAGGATTAGAAAAGAAAAAGCAGCAGTTCCCCGTTGCAGATCAGGCACAATTATGAGCGTGACATGATGAATCAGCCCATTTACAATTCTACTGTGCTTGAACGAGAAATGCCCCCCCCCCCCTTGGGAATGGCCTAAAGACACTACAGTCAGTGGCACTGCCCAGGGGGGAGGGGGGGGGGTAAAAATAGCTTGTTTAGAAAGTCTATGTTATTTTAATGTTCATTTCTTGTCCAAGCTATTGCAATCTCATTCACTTTTATGTACAGGAAATTGATACCACGGTGCAAAAGATCGATGACACCACTGCTCAAATAGCCGCAGCCGATGGTCTAATGGAAAGGATGAAAACCGAGGTGCCATACTCCGAAACCATGAAACAAAATCTGAAGGATTTCCAACAAAAACTCCTTGGCGAGATTGTGAAGACCGTGGACACACTCCACACCACCCTTGATCCCGTCCTGAGTGACGAGGCAGCTGATCTGCACACCATTGAAGGAGGGAAGAAAGAGATGGACAACATATCGACAATTGTGGCGAAACTGGACACCAAGCTCAATAAGGCTGGGCTGGCGGCCCTCAAACCTCTCGAAGCCGTGCACCTCAGTGAAATCTCGAACACGTGAGAAGAGTAAAACCAGAGACCTAGCAATGTTAACCTTGTTAGGTCTCTGGTATAACGTAAATCACAGGCCCTCAAGCTTTTGTTCTCAAAAGTTTTTGTCTACGCTGTTCCTGTCGTATGCTTGTATCTTTCCTGGTTTATTTTTTCCTCGTCAACATTTATAAATCGGTGTAATCTATCCATTACAATTACACTTGACATACTATACATTTCCAGTCTCTTTCATGCCATTCAAAGATGATCTGTATCACTGTATGGGCTTTTCGTTTTCTTCTACACTTATTTCCATCCAGTGTGCGACGTTCAGGTATTTCACTATAAGAAGGAAAGACAACTCAGTGCATTATTTTCCAAAATGTCGAATTGTTTTACAACGAAAAATGTCTGTCGGGAGGACTTTACAATGTAAAACGAAAAAAGGGTTTCAGTAAATACAAGCGCCAGAATACTATAATCTAATATAATATTATTATATTATTGCAAAAACAATGACGATAATGATATCAACACCAACAACAGTAGTAATAGTAATAATAATAATGATAATAATAATAATAATAATAATGATATAATAATAATAATAATAATAATAATAATAATATTAATAATAATAAAAACATTGACAATAATACTAATAACAATAATACTACTAATAAAAATAATATTAATGATGATGATGATGATGATAATAACAATAGTAATAATAATAGTAATTATACTACTCTTACTACTACTACTACTACTACTACTACTACTACTACTACTACTACTACTATTACTACTACTACTACTACTACTACTACTACTACTACTACTACTACTACTACTACTACTACTACTACTACTACTACTACTACTACTACTACTACTACTAC